CATGGGTCCTGCAACCATGGAAACATTATAGCAAAAACAGACATACTAGCTTTAATTTAGTTTTAAAAAATCAGTTTGTTGTTTCTTGCTCATTAGCACCACATTATTACATTCATACTACATTCACATTCGTATTCCTTATTCAAAATGCTTGGGGCCCAGAAGTGCTTTGAGTTTTGGATTTTCTCAGATTTTGGAACACTTGTATTTGTACACACCTACATAATGAAATATCTTGAAGATGATAACCAAACACCAAACTCACTTACGTTTCATATATACCTTATATGCATATCCTGAAGGTAATTTTATACAATGCTTTTAATAAATGTGTGCATGAAACATAGATCTTGACCTATCCTTGACCTATCCTGTTTATTCATATGCAATTCCACTGAATTCACTAAACCGTGAGTGGTTAGACCAGCTTTCTCAGCCTGATGCCTTTAATTAACTATGATATCACAGGTATGTGTGGTTGTTGTGATTTGTAATCTATCACACCCAAAGAATTGTTACATTAAGTATAGCTGATCTATAGGACTGTTATGCAGCTCTCCAGCCAGTATTACTGCAATAGCTGAGAAATTTTGAGAGTAAAAGTTTGGGAGTAATTTTTACAAAGTTAAAAGGCAAATTATTGGCAGATATAATACGAGGGTTATCAAGAAGGTAAGGTTACAAGGCATGTACTCTCATGGGAAATTTTCTCGGTGGAAGTTGGTATCATTGCCGTGTAGCGGGAAGCCAGTGGAAGTGAACAAGCAGTGCCAGTCGTCAGTAGCTCATCAACTGGTGTTGTGGTGAAGGTTAGAGGTGAGCATCCTCATTCCGTTTGCCTCCAAGTGTGAAGTTTGTGCTGTAATACGCTACCTAAATGCTAAGGGCATGAACAACACTGCAATTCACTGCAAAATCATTTTAGTTTATGGAGAGGATGTAATGTCAAGACAAAATGTGTACAGAATATATTGTGAGACCATGAAGAAACTTCGTAGAGCCAAGTCGTGGGATGCTGATGGTGAGAGTCAGTCTCCTTCATGACAATGTACATCTGCACACTGCTCATGCAACACAAGAATTGTTGACATCATTTGGTTGAGATGTTTTAAACCACCCCCTTCACAGCCCTGATCTTGCACCCTATGACTATCATTCGTTCACTAAATTGAAGGAACACCTTGGTGGAAAACACTTTTCCGATGACGACGAGGTGAAAATCAAAGTGACGAACTGGCTGAAAAAGAGGGAAACTTCTATGACACAGGCATCAAAAACTCATCCCACAGATGACCAAATGTATTGAACTGAAAGGTGATTATGTGGAAAAATAATGTAATAGATGCTCAAATCCATGTAAGTTTTATTAAAATATATTCATTCTTTGTATTTAAAAAAAATCTTGTAACCTTACTTTCTAGATAACCCTTGTATTTTGCAAATGTAACAATCTAGGACAGGTGTTGGATGCTAGGTTTTGATGTTGCTGTTGTTGTTGTTGGTGGGGTGGATATTCTTCCTGCAGCCTTTTATAGTGAGATGATTAAGGTGTTGAATTTCTGGCTAGAGGGCTGGGGCCACCATACAATATAGTTTCAAACTACATTATATTACAATGTAGGGAAGGCATGAGTTGACCTTCTCTAATGGGCAAGAACAGAATCACTCATGGCTACATTTTCCTTCTCAGATACTTGCAGGGTGTTCCTGATACATATTTGCTCCTTTCCCCCCTTCCTGTCTGCATTCTAAGAGCCAAAGAAAACAGATTGGTCACGCAAAATAAAACGTCTTTGATCAAAACAATTTTCTAACATAAAGTTGTAATTCCTAGCATTTAAATGGTAGTAATGAAATTCAATCAGCCTCAATGGTATGAGCAGGACTTCTTCAGTTTCATTTCCTAATAATTACATGTCTGATACCTGCCTCGCTTCTTTTAAAAATTGCACCCAAACAGTTTTTGAACTAGAAAATGAGTGAAGCCATTTTGCTAGAATTAGAAAAAAGGCTGGAGATAACCCCGTGTAGATGATTATTATGCAAAGCTGATATTTCTGGTTGTAGTAGTAAAAGGTGGGTGAGAGCATCTGTAAGAATAAATGCGAGTGTCTTAGAGCAAAAGGTTTTACACATTTCCATAATGTCTGAAACAAACATGATTGTTACACCTGAACCTATGTGACCCAGCTGTCACTCTAGTGTGGTTCGAGTACATTGTGTCAGCCTTGTTGGGAAAACTGCAAGCATCAATCCCGAATTATATTTCTTTAGTAGGAACTGTATGAGTCGCAGTGGCACAATGGGTTAAAACCTTGTGCCGGCTGAATTGCTGACCTGAAGACCTGAAGGTCAGTGGTTTGAATCTTCGGGACCGGGTGAGCTCCCATCGGTTAGCCCCAGCTTCCCATGCAAGGACATGAGAGAAGCCTCCCATAGGATGGTAACACATCCAGGCCTCCCCGGGCAACGTCCTTGCAGATGGCCAATTCTCTCACACCAGAAGCAACTTGAATTGGAAAAAAGTAGGAACTGTAAGTGTGGATCTCTATGTACCTTCAGGTCACCTGTTGACTTATGGTGAATTTTCCTATTCATTTCATAGGGTTTTCTTTGGTGAAGAATACCCAGAGATGGCTGACCAATTCCTTGTTCTGAACATAGCCCAGAGCATCTGGCATTTGTCAGCAGTTTCCCATCTAAGTGTTAACCTGGGCTGACCCTGCTTAGCTTCTAAAAAGTCGCTCTGTTAAAAGTCCATCAGAAATGGAGACACAAGTAAAACAATCTTTTATTGCATTATTTTTGGTCGATTAATTAGACAAACATGAGTTTTTAAGCCACAGAAGGCTCTCCTTCCATACAAAAGTGAAAAGCAGAAGGCATAATGTGTGAAAATAACATAACGCCGAGTGTATATGCAAACTACATTAACAGTACACATTTTAATTAAGAAGTTCTCAAGAAAGCAGCTTGACCAAAACAGCTTCAATGTCAATGCTATACATATTTTCCTGTGCATAAGTCTCACTGAAATAGGTTTATCATGTAAAACAAGAGACAGGATACTTGTCCCTTTACTGGTTATGTAAAAAGCAACACTTACTATAATATCCTCATGTGTGCAACTATTAAATTCAAGGAGCTCTGTCCCTTGTTTCACCTCTCAATCCTACACTGAACTCGGTGCAGTTATATCTAGGTGGTAGTCATGTATATGTAAAGAGGGACCTTTGTTCCACCAAGTGTTTTGGACTATCACTTCCATAAACCCTAAACATGTTGACTGATGATTGAAAGCTAAATGAAGTCCCCAAACACCAGAAGTTTCTTGCTTTCAATGCATAGGTTTGCAGTTTACTGCAAATGAAGACGTATGTTTGGCATGTAGCTGCAATACAGCAATTGGTACAATTTCCCAAACCCCACCTACTCAATACAGCGAGATAGCAATTTCCATGTCAGTGATGAGAAGGGGAAGTAGCAGAGACGCTTTTCACTATTTCACTTTAGCTAGACAGTGACTGGAAACCTCAGAGACTTTCTGTGGACCTTGGAGGGCCTCTGAGGTTGATATTATTGCTTTCCAGCATTGCCATTGCTGCTCCTTGGTGTGAAAATAGACATCTTTGTAGGGGAGGGGCTGCCACACTGTAAAGATGAGTGTGTAAGAGGAATCCTGGTGGCTGTGTAGCCGAAATAGAATGTGGGTCGCTGTGAGTTTTCCAGTCTGTCTGGCCATGTTCCAGAAGCATTCTCTCCTGATGTTTCATCCACATCTATGGCAGGCATCCTCAGAGGTTGTGAGGTCTGTTGGAAACTAGGCAAGTGGGGTTTATATATCCGTGGAATGTCCAGGGTGGGAGAAAGAACTCTTGAGGCAAGTGTGAATGTTGCAACTGATGATCTTGATTAGCATTGAATTGCCTTGCAGCTTCAAAGCCTGGCTGCTTCCTACCTGGGGAAATGCTTTGTTGGGTACTAGCAGACCCTAATTGTTTCTTGTCTGGAATTGTCCTGTTTTCTAAGTGTTCTTTATTTGCTGTCTGGATTTTAGAGGTTTTTTAATGTCTGACTCTGGGGGTTGGTGCTCATCTCCATTTCTAAGTTGAAGAACCAACATTGTCCATAGGCACCTCCAAGGTCATGTGAGTGGCATGACTGCATGGAGCACCATTAAGAGAATTACAGTGGTATAAATTGGGCTTATGCCATTGGAACTCAATAACAGAATGTTAATTCACTGTTTAACCATTTGACTAAGAAAGAGTTTGTAGGGATCTCAGAGCATGGATACCATTGAGCAACGGGAAAGTTGTGACATTAATATTTTATGGCACTGTTTCCATTACCCCCTTTTTATTACATGTGTCACTGATGGCTTTTATTAACCATCTATGTTTAAATTATGTTCTACCAAGAAGTACAATGATGTACTTATTTAATGCTGGTAATAAATGTTTAAGGCCAACAACTCATGAGTAAGGATTTGCATCTTCATTTATCTCATGCAAAAAATGAAGAACTTCAAGTTTTTTCTCCAAAACTGAGCAAAATTATGAGCTTTTTGGCTCATTTTAAAATTCTTGTTGACATATTAGGACTTTTCTAAAACGGAAATGCATTTGTCCACCTCACTTCCCCAGAAGTGTTTTTATACACAAGATATTCTGAGATAACAGCCACATTATTAAAATAATAATCTCTCATGATACTTGACAGTTTTTATCTTAGGTGGAAAAATACTGAAATATCAAGCCATAATAAAAAATGAATTGTAGAGTACTCCAGAGATTTGGACCTTTGAAAACGCTTATAGTTTTACATTAAAAGATCAAAATTACATATGAACCAACCTGAACAATATGACTTGCAATTTCACTGAACTAACTTTGTCTAATCTTGAATAATGTTTGTGCCTTGAAATACTTTGGAGTTGGTATTGATGTTCTGGTTTACTTCTGAGATATATATATAATCTCCAACTCCCTCTAAACTTGGGACAAATACCACATCAGTAGCATGCTGGGATTATTAAAGAAGGGATGGTTAGCCATTGAAGTCCACCCCATTCTCACAAAACATGAAACCTTGGACAAGTGTACCTGCTACTTTCATTAAAACCAAAAATGATTACTTCTGGTTTTGAAAATTTAAAAAGTCTAGTTTGGGCTGTGGAAGATTGGAAGAACCTTTAAATACCTCTTTCACAGGGAGATGGGAAGAGTTTAAGGGTCCTGGAATGTCTGCAGGCCATGTGGGAGGTCTTGGGAGGCTTCATTCAGTTCACATAGTACACAAATCCCATCTTTTTGCTAGAGTGTTATGCTGTGATTTGGGAGAATTGGATTTAAATCTCTACTTGGACATAAATCTCATGGATCTTCTTGGCCCATTCATTCTTCCTCAGACTAATCTCCTTCACAGAAATGTAATGACGAAAAGGTCAGATGTATTGATTTGAGAAACAGAAGGATAGACAGCGAGTCCTTGGTATCTACTTGGGTTTTCTTCCAGGACCCACCTGCCACGGATATCAATATCCATGGGTGATCAATCCCTATATATATATATATATATCCATGTCAGGAGCAACTTGAGAAACTGCAAGTTGCTTCTAGTGTGAGAGAATTGGCTGTCTGCAAGGACGTTGCCAAGGGGACACCAGGATGTTTTGATATTTTGTCATCTTTGTGGGAGGCTTCTCTCATGTACCTGCATGAGGAGCTGGAGCTGACAGAGGGAGCTCATCCACTCTCTCCCTGGATTTGAACTCGTCTTCAGTCCTGCAGGCACATGGGGTTTAACCCACAGCTTCACCGAGGGCTCCTATCCCATTATATGCAATGGCATCATAAAATGGCACCCCTTATATGAAATGCCAAAAATCAAGGTTTGCTTTTGGGTATTTGGGAAGAGAGGATATTTTCAAGCCATGGGTGGTTGAATTTGTGAATAAAGAATCCCTGGATGCAGGTGGCTAATTGTAAATGAAATCAGGGCAAATGTTGCCTTGGCTGGAAATCCTCAAACTACATAAAAGACATAATCCATGAAGGATTGCACTCTTATGATTCCCCCCTCCCTTTCTATGAGGTAGATCCAATTGATTGTGGCCTACTTTTTTAAAAATGGGGGGGGGGGATATAAAGAGAGGTTTCTGATTTTTGTGCAGCAGGTTACAAACAGTAAAACAACAAAATACTAATCAAGTATATATAATGTGATTATGACTCTTGGATTATGACTCTTGCAATAATACATTTAACCTGTGTTTTTGTGTAATGAAATTCCTGAAATACTGAAAGGGAAAGATGAGAAAGAAAGACAGATAAAAAGCTTTACACAGCACTCTGAATATTGATGTCCAGCTCCCCGTAGACATGCCGTAAGGCATCACAATTCAAGCTTGCAATCAGTTTTCGGAGGCCAGCCCGCTTTGGAACGCATTTTTCTTCCCAGGTCAAGGTTGAATTCCTTGGAATCTCTCTGCAATGAAACAAACAAACATGTAAGCACTGTGGCAGGCAAGCCATAAATCCATCAACAGGAACTGGTGTCTTTGCAGTAGAAAAATCTTTAGTTTATATTTAAAAAGAAACATCCTATCCCAATGTGGGGCTTAAAATGAAAAACTAAATTCATTAGATCACCTAAAGCAGTGGTTCTCAAACTGCAGGTCCCCAGGTATTTTGGCCTACAATTCCCAGAAATCCCAGCCAGTTTACGAGCTGTTACAATTTCTGGGAGATGAAGGCCAAAACATCTGGGGACTCACAGGTGGAGAACCACTGACCTAAAGCAAGGTTGGGCAAAGAGTGTCGTGCAGGCTGGAGTAGTTCCGCTGGGGTTGTTTTGTGCTCCCCAAGTACCTCAGGGATTGAAAAAGCTCACAAACTATCTCTAAGGGGTGGGGAAGTCATTTCCACCATATTTGGAGTCCCCATAGGATGACAGATATAAAAAAGATGCTTCCAAATCCCATCTAGGAGTCTAGAAAAGACCCAAAGACCTCTGAGGATGCTTGCCATAGATGCAGGCAAAACGTCAGGAGATAATGCCTCTGGAACATGACCATATAGCCCGAAAAAAACCTACAACAACCCACCCAAAGTATGCCTTCAAAGAGTTGTGGTGTGGTGCTTCAACGTCTCCTGGTGCTCTGTCCTAGTCTTCCATCTTTGCCCATCTAATAATTGTCAAGCAGACCATCTCCAACTGGATACTTATTTGCTCCTATTTCTTAGCCTGTTTGAAATTTCAAAGCAGCTACTCAACTGGAGGAATTCACATCAGACCTATGCAGCGGTATAGTTACAAGCTGTCAAAATGAGAGCATTTATCTCCCACATAAGAATACTGCCCCCAAATAATTTTCCTTCAGTTTGTAAGACTTCAGCAAAACTTCCAGAAATACTATTTCGGGCTCTTCCACACAGCTATATAACCCAGAACATCAAGGCAGAAAATCCCACAATATCTGCTTTGAACTGGGTTATCTGAACTGGGTATTCCAGTACAAAGCAGATAATGTGGAATTTTATTCAACTTTGTGGAAGGGGCCTCAGGCAGTGTTGACATATTAGGCAGTGTGGATTCAGAAAACCCAGGTCAAAGCAGATATTGTGGGATTTTCTGCCTTGATTATTTAAATTATTGTTTCTATTCAATATTTGATGTTTTGTAATATGTCTTTTATAACAGGCTGTGTTTTTTATTTAATTTTAATTGTTAAGTTATATTTTGTATTTATATGTTGGGTTGTTTAAAATTTGTTAGCATAGCTGTATTGTTGTTGTATTTGGGCATGGAATGTTTGCCTTTTATGTTTGGAATTCGCCCTGAGTCCCTCCGGGGAGATAGAGTGGAATATAAATAAAATTTTTATTATTATTATTATTATTATTATTATTATTATTATTGTGATTAATATTATTTGAAACACAACAAGATGAGTCCACAGCAGACAAGATCACTCTGCTGGCTGTTGCATTGGATCACATGTCGGTCACTTCCCAAGTGTCTAGGCCTGTGTGATGTATCGGTGAATAATATGTGCAGATCCCAGTAAGGTGGCCTTCTGCAGCTGGCAGATGGTAATTTTGTCAGCGCCAATTGTGTTTCAGTGCAGGCCAAGGTTATCTCACCCCTTCAGTGGGACCACCTTGACTGGCTTGTGCCAGAGTCTTTGCAGTTCAATCTTTAAATCCTCATATTGTGTCGTTTTCCAGTTGTTTCTCTGCAATCCTGCTGTCACCTGGGATTGCAACATCGACAATCCATACTTTGTTTTTTAACAGATCGTGAGGTCAGGAGTATTGTGCTCCAAAACTCTGTCTGTCTGAATTCGGAAGTCCCAGAGTATTTTTTTTTATTTGATACACTTGTATACCGCTAATATCTCAGCCTGGGTCGGCGACTCATTGCGGTTTACAGCAAATTAAAAACGATCTCCAATTTAAAACATATACGCATACAATAACAAATTATTGGGCCACCAATAATAATCCCATATATCTCAAGCTGAAATCATAATCCAGAATTCGTTGTCCATATTCCTGTCCTTAGTCACCAGAGTTCAAGTGCCACAGATTAGCCGAATGCTTGTTTTCAGTCTCTTCCTAAACACCATCAGCGAAGAGGCTGATCGTACCTCTATAGGGAGGGTGTTCCAAAGCCGGGGGGCCACCACAGAGAAGGCCCTGTCTCTCGTTCTTGACGTGTTCATTTTCTGACGTAGCTTGACGTGTTCATTTTCTGTAACTTTTTCAGGCTTGTGATCCCACCAGTTCTTTGTCGCAGGCAGATGGTATTTGTGGCATAAGTTCCATTGAATCATCTGAGCAACGGTGTTTTGCCTCTGCTTGTAGTCTGTCTGTGCAATCTTCTTGCAGCAGCTGAGGATGGGATTTATTGTTTCATCTGCTTCCTTGCAGAGTCTACATTTGGGATCTGTCATTGACTTTTCAATTCTGGCTTTGATGGCATTGATGATGATGATGATTATTATTATTGATATTCTGGGTTACAGTATATGTCTGTGTGGAAGGGCCCTCAGACACCCAAAAAAATGGTGCTGGTAGATTTACCATGGAATTACAAACACCACAAATTCTAGGTGTGGATGATTTTCAGTATCTCATTCTTTACAGTGCTTTGCATTTTGAGACACTGGGGGATATAATTCTTACTTGGGGAGGCAATACCCTCAGTTTGCCTCTTCCTAAACAATATCCTTAGAAAAGCTCTCTTTTTTGTAATTGCCCTGTCATGACCATTTCCTCTTGATCCATTTTCCATTTTCCTTCATGGGGCAAGACGCTGCTTTCGACTGAACTTAAAATGGTAAGAACAAAAGGTTTAAAACCCCAAGCCAGCTTTTAATGCTATAGTCCCAAATTGAATCCAAAAGCTTGTGTTTTAACAACAGCAACAACAAATGTACACAGGCTAGAAGACCCTGTTTGCTGATCAACTTCATCATATCTATTTTGGACCATGATGCCATGCAACTATATTCATGATTAGGTTAAAAAAAACCCCATAATACAGTGGAGTGTCCTCTGGACATTTTAAAACAGTGACTACACTGCTATCTGTTGGGAGTGCTTTGATTATGTATTTCTGCATGCTAAGAGGTTGGATTGGCTAGCCCTAGTGGTATTTTCCAATTCTATTCTCACTTTTTTCCCCCCTTTAGCATTGGTACTGTGCTCAAAGTTGAACAAACTACTTGCCCTAGCAAAATGTTAGGATCTTTTCAAAATTTCCTCTGGAATATCGTTTTATAATAAAACTTGGAATCTTGTTATAGAAGATGGGAGAGAGCACTTCCAATGGAACCCGATCCTGTGATTTTATTTTACCAAATAACCTGAATATATCCCAAAGGAAAAGAGTATTATTTTAAATTGTTGCTAATGGAATAAAAGGGAACTAATTCCATTTGCCTGGAGTAACCCTAGTGATTGATTATTCTCCGTAATGGGCTCAGCCATCAACAGAGAGCCATAATTTATCATCTTCAATACACTGAGGCAGTATGGGATGAATTATTTAAATAATCTGCCGTGGCTTCATTTTATACATGTAATTTTCCACTTGCACCCAAACTAAGGAAAATGAAATCAACATAGTTTTTTTAAAAATTGTTTTTTGAGACATTTTCACTGTGCTATATCTATGGATAGGTTTGCTTAAAATAGTTTACCACAAAGTCTAGAATTGAGCATTTTTAAAAAAATGTCAGTCACAACATTTTGACAGTCACAACTATTTGTGACTGACAAAAGGGCGGGTGGAATGTAAGGGTGTCTCAACGCTGCCAAATAATGCAGTATAGAGTTGCAGTAGACTTTGTATGTCCACACAAGGCATGCAGGCTGATATGATTTCACCCAAGGTAGGCCACTTAATGCAGCACTTAATGCAGATTAAAAAAACACACAAGAAGGTTCAAATCCTTCCTTGGATCTTTCCCTTTATTGGGGAAATGAGTGGGTATAGCTAGCACTGTGCCAAGGGGGGTGGTTGGATTAGGGGTTCAACTCCCTCCCCCTGAATTTTTTTCAGGTTAAAAAAAACCTGGTTTACTCTTGAATTTTAACTGGTTAACCAAATCCCCATACTAAGTCTATGGGTCCTTCCACACAACCCTATTGTTCTGTCGCCACTGGGTCCGAACCAAATGTCTTTATTCTATAGAACGCACACTTTAAACCCAGTGGGAAGCCGGGGTGCCTGAAGAGAGATTGTTAGAGACTTCCAGAAGTAATGGGCTTTAGAGTTCTTTAAAGGTACAAAAAAGTCTTTATTAAGGAACAAATCTTCAAACAACACTTCAAGGCTTTCTTATACTAGTCTTTAAGAGACTGGCACTGACTTGGTTTAACTATACTATATCAACATGAGGAAGAACCCTTTATAATCTCTCCCAGGCCATCCATCGCCTAGGCCTCGCTGGTCTGGGTATAACTGCCGATCCCCAAATGCGTCTGGAAACCGAGTAACCTACCAGACAAAGCTAGAAGATACTTAGCTGAAATTCTGTGGTTCTGCAGTGATGTCCTGTGGGAACTTCAGTGCTGTTTTCCCCTCTGGTGCTGTGAGGCTGAGAGGCTGTGAGCTCTCAGCCAGAGCCTTTGGGACCTTTTCCTTCTGTTTCCCTGGAACTGGATGGTCACTGGATGGACCCCGGATCACCTCTGGATGATCCCTGGATGGCTTTGAGGAATGAAGCCTTTCCTACGGGACAAGCTGATCTGCGTCTTATAGACTGGCTTCCTTGTGCGTGACTGACCAAAATGGTTCCTCTATTTTCCCAAAGCCCAGACTAAGGGGCGGAACCAAAGCTAAATGAAGATGGACAGGGGGCTTGCCCTATGTCTGCAGACTATAACAGGAAGCCACCCTGCAGCAAAATCCCAAGACTGGGATTGCAAACAAACCTTTAGTTCAAAGCAAATAAAATTGGAGCTCCTGGAACAGCTGTTCCAGAACACCTATATCCCACAATATCAAGGCAGGAAATCCCACAATATCTGCTTTGAACTGGGTTATCTACCATATATTCCAGTTCAAAGCCGATAATGTGGGATTTTCTGCCTTGATATTCTGGGATAAAGGGCTCTTTGGAAGGGCATTATAAGAAGCAAAAAATAAATGAATCCCTCCAGAACTGCAAGCACCATCTCAAGCAAATTTTGACAATTTATTCACACTGTCATTACTTGCAGCAATAGCCGATATAGTGGAAGCAACCAAATTGGCCCACCCATATTTGGCAGGCTAAGCCTAAACCAAGGGGAGGGGATGGATTTGAAGGCCCTCATGAAGGAGACCAGACTTAATGGGGGTGGTTGACAGGGGCAGAGCTGCAGGCTATTTAAGGCTGCTCTGCCCCCCTGCTGTGCTCTTTGCTTCAACATTGAGGTAGGAGGCTGGTTCCTAATGGGGAATTAGGCCTTTCCCTCCTTGGTCCTCCCTCCCCTTTTCCAGATAATAGAGTTCCCATTGTTATGCCTATATATAGGTTGTTTTCAACTCTTAAAAGTTTGAAAACATACATAAGCAGCAGAATGGGGCAAGAAAGATCGACTGGACTTGCACTCTTGAGTGTCCACTTCAGTTTATCAGTGTGGCCTGATTTCCGACAAAGTGTATTGACACAGTATTCAAGTGTTTCCAACAGACGTTTGTGGCATTCTTTTGTAACAATAAATTACCAATTAATAGTCATTTTCAGTTATTTTAAGACTTGAAACTTTGTAACTAAAATAGAAAATTAAGATGTAATTAAGTCTATATAAAAATATAGAATGAACCATACTATTTAAATTATTTTGTGGTATGCTCTTCATGATTCTCTCTAAAAAAAAGTTTCAACCCCCTCCCCCCTTCCAAAAATTCTATACTGGATCCAAGATTGCTGTCTCTACAACTATCCTATACTCTCTGGGCTCAAGAATTTCAGGAAGGTACGATAGCTGTCCCTTCCTGTCCTATGTACATCCCCCCACTCCGATTTTCCCCAGTAGAAGAAACAAAATTCACCTGTGACATGTTAAGTAGCTTTATTTTACTAGTTCCATGCCATGTGAGTGGCAAAGGAACCTGGAAAGAGCAGCTGGGGTATATTAGTTATATGGACCAAACCCATCCTAACCTGGATTTGGGATTTAGACCTCATTTAAATATCTGTATCACAATAAATCCAGGTCCACAATATTGTCCCTGGAATAAACAAATGCACAGCATGATATGCCAGTTGTACACTATAGATATCAAGCTTGTTCACAAACCTGAACAATTTTGAGGTTGGCTTCAGGAGACCAGGCCCATCCAGTTGAACCCTGACATTGTTGAGGTCCTGTTTCAATGGGTTGGCAAATTCCACAATCACTGCCATGTCTTTACCAACTACTTTCTCTCCAGGAACCTGCAAAAAAGAATGCAGATTAAAAACAGGTAACACCACAATGTTTGTGGGCAACCCGAACCTGGTCCTCCTCAGTTGTGTTCTACAGTATTAGCATTCTAATAATCTTTAGCCATCATATCCTTTATGTTCTAGTTATGTGTATATTGTTCACACTGATAGGCTGCCTTTGGTGACTGTTTGGGAGGTTCAGCTATTGCAGTATGCAATTATCTGACTGTTTCAAAGGACAAAACAATTCTACACACCACATTTGATCTTAGCCAAAAAGCCAAGAAGCAATAAAACATCTACATTATATTGGCTATACTGGCTTCCATTCTATTTTTGGGCTCAGTGTGAAGAGCATGAAAGTGGTTTGGAACTGAGTTTGTTGCAACTTTATCAAGTAGTGTTCCCAGCACCCTCCTTTCCATTCCTCAAGGCAGTGGGGAGAAATCTCAAGCTGATAGGACTGCCTTGAAAAGTGAGGGTGTATTTTCCTGTTAGATTTATTATTTTGTTTTTTTGAATGACACACTTTGTGTAACTGCCCAGTTTGAATACTTCAAGAAATTATGCTCAATAACTTCACCGATAACTGCCCACTATATAGTAACGCATACTTTGTATAGTACCATGGGGTCCTTCCCCTTGTTATATCATAGGTTCATCCATAAGTTTTCATCATCATTGTCATCGTTTATACCAGGCATAGGCAAACTTTGGCCCTCCAGGTGTTTTGGACTTCAACTTCCACAATTCCTAACAGCTGGTAGGCTGTAAGGAATTGTGAGAGTTAAAGTCCAAAACATTTATAGCCTACATTTTCCTAAATAATGAGACTAACATCTTTAAAAGTGTGTAGGTTAAACTTGTGCAAAAGCATCAGTAAAAAGTATAAATACAAAATACAAAAAATAAACAATTGATATCATTAAAATATTAAAATGCATTAAAAGACAACAGACAAAGCATAAGAACTGCGCTGCACAACAATAAAATCCCACTTCAGTCAGTTTTCAAAAGCCTGATGGCACAGGTATGTTTTCAACTGCTGACAGAAGGAAAGTGAGGAGGGAGCCATCCTACTGCTCTTTTTACTTTTGTAGAGTTCGGAAAAAGATCTACACAATGCTTTCTAATTGCTACTTTTAGGCAGTTCTCATCTGGAAGCGCCCAACATTTTGCTACTATTAGCCTAAGAACTTAGTCTACAATAAAAGGTATTTTCTGTGCTCATCTCAAGTCCATTAAACCCAAAGGTATGGTTGAATACAAGGCTCTAGTACAGTTCATTATGGCCTTCTTAAACTCCATGTTTGTAGACAAGGGGACAGATTGCTATTGGATTTCCAACAGGTGTTACATGAGACTCTCAGTTGTCACCCCGGAAAAACCTCCTGAGATTTAACTGAATCTTTTGTCTGGAAAAAACATAAAGAATTACCACTTAAAAAATAAAAGAGAAGAAATGAAAAACCCTACCGTGCTGTGCTATACATCCATAATTCATGATAACATCTGTGGTATGTCACATTTATCTTAACACATGAGAATGAACCTGTTCAGCCTATGCTTGTTAGGATTTTATGAATTATATTAAATCTTTATTTCTCTCTCTCAGGTCTTTTTGAAAAAGTTGAATCAGAAAGTAAAAATGGCTTACTGGAAGGTAATAAGCATTATTCTAGATTTTCAGTCAAGCTAATGAGAATGGGATCTGGTTATCAAGTGTATTTTTTTATCATGTCAGAAGTGACTTGAGAAAATGCAAGTCACTTCTGGTGTGAGAGAACAGGCCAACTGCAGAGACATTACCCAGGGGACACCAAGATGTGTTACTATCCTGTGGGAGGCTTCTGTCATGTCCCTGCATGGGAAGCTGGAGCTCATCTTGTCTCGTGGATTTGAACCGCTGACCTTCAGATCAGCTGTTCAGCTGGCACAAAGGTTTAACTGCAGCTTTATCAAGTGTATACAACTGTATTTTAAACAGGAAGACAACCAGAAGTGTTGACTTAGTGTGCTCAGCATCCCTTTTCCAGAATTCCGAAATACTCCAAAATCCCAAATTGTCCATATGGATAGCTGAGATAGTGACATCTTTGCTTTGTGATGGCTCAGTGTACACATCTTTCATGCAAAAATGATAAAATATTGTATATAACATTACCTTCAAACATGAAACATAAATGAATTCCATATTCAGACTTGGGTCCCATCTCTAAGAAATCTCATTATGATATGCATATGTAAATGTAGGTATTTCAACTCCCCCCCCCAAAAAAAAACCCTCAACTCCACCCCAAACTTCTAAATAAGGGATGCCCAACCATTAATAAGAAATTAAGGCAACTGCAAATATAGTCAAAATAATTTTGAAGCTGGCTTGTTTTCCTTAATCATAGTTATGTTTTGACCACGTATAGGGACTGGAGTGTGATTAACCTAAGATAGAAACAGAGGTTTCCAGTTTCCTTCTTGTGTTGGAGTTGGAAGCAGAAAGGGAAGGACAGAGTATGTAAGTCTAGATGGAGAGGAGATTTGTTTTAATAATGCTAAACCATCATTACTAGGCTTGTGCATTTCTGCTAAACCTCAATCTGCTTCTGATGGCCAGATTCTGGTAGACCCCTTTATCCATTTTCGCACACCTCCTGAAAACGGATGGGTAGCCAGATAGCTGTTTTCCTTCCACAGCTGAAAAATACAGCTAGATCTGGCCCATTGGCGGCAATGGGGAACTTACAAGGCTCCCCTTTCTGTTTCTGGAACCCTTTCCCTTTTTCCCTTCAAGGGAGCTTGAGTTTCAGCAACGGGGTCAAGGAAGCTCCTTTCCTGGTACCCTTTCCTTTCTTCCCTTCAAGGGAGTGAGTTTCAGCAATAGGGTTAAGAAAGTAGACACAGCTTGTGTAAGACACATCATCAATGTGATGGCTGGGCCCTTGCCGTTATGACCATCTGACCAAACCGAACAAGCTGTATTGGCCAAAGGGAACTGACCACTCTGAATCCGTTCACAAGCCTAATAATTGTACCTTAATCCTGCATCTGTGCTCAAATTTCTTTTCCATATCCTTTTCACATGCTCAAAAATATATGTCAGATTTTATCCCCCCACCCCACAAGTAATAATTTTCTAACTCTTGTGGTTATTCTTATTTGGAGGGTATCACTCAATTAGAGCAGTGTGGAAAAGTGGTTTGAAGACTGGACTATGATTTTTGAGATCAGGGCTCCATTTGCCACTTCCCTATAAAAACTCACTAGGTTACCTTAGATGAGTCACGCTCTCTCAACCCTAGGAAACCCCCGTAGAAAGTTCACATGGGACCAAGACAGCTTTTATATTATTAGACAAAAACGAATCAATTTCTACCAGTTCCAAAATTTGTGTGTGGGGGTGGGGGTGTGTGTGCTTAGATTTTGGATTGATAATCCCTGAATAAATACTTTGCAACAAAGGTGGGAATCATGTGATCCAGATGTTGGTGAAATGTATTTTCTAGCATTGGTCACTGTTGGTTGATTATACTCTCTATGGTTGCTAGGACATGCAGTCCAACAACATCTGAAGAATGATATGACTCTTCTATAGATTTGCTGCCATGTTTTGGAGAAAGGCAGGATATAAAGTGATTGATGTGAAAAGTGATTTGCCTTTCTCAATAACTGGAGAGGGGGCAAGAACAGAGAAATCAATGGGAAATACTACATGCATGTTGGAAACCCATTCATTTGACTAATACAGAGAAGAAGGACAGGCAAACCAACATCTGCTGTTTTCTTCTGAAAAATTGTGCTGATATAACGTAATTGTTGACCAGCCAACAGAGTTACAGTTTTGCTTTTTGGTTTGTTTGGGCTTTTTTACGTCAAGCAAACTTTTTTGAAAAGGAAACACTGGGCACAATCCCAACTTTCTATCCTTTCCAAGACATATTCCCAGAATAAGGAAACTCCTAGCAATATGTCCCTAAATGCATTTTATTAGTGATCTAGGATTGTCTGTACGTCCTATCCCTCTCTGAAAATTCTATCCTAGTTATATTTCACCTGGTCATGCTCAGCATTATTTTTTAAATTTTAATTATTACATTTGGCCCAGCCATAGGTTTTTAAATATTGTGATATTGTTAATTTTTATTGCTTATTTTCTGCTTATGAGCTTTATTTATTGTTTTGTATTACTGTTGTTATTTTTTTTACTGTTGTATTGTGGGCTGGGCCTCATGTAAACTGCACCGAGTCCCTTGGGGAGATGGTAGCGGGGTACAAATAAAGTTTTTAAAATTATTATTATTATTATTATTATTATTATTATTATTATTATTATTATATTATAATGTAATACAATATAGTACTACTACTAATAATATGATATTATAAGTATATATTTATATTACATATAATATTACTAATAATATTACAATATAATGGTATAGTAGAATATAGTAATATTTAATACTGATATTGTACTATGCTAATAATATAATATATTGTATGTATATATATCTTGTGAGCCGCTCTGAGTCCCCTTCGGGGTGAGAAGGGCGGCATATAAATGCCATAAATAAATAAATAAATAAATGAAATGTTTTTTTCTGTCTGCAGAAGCAGTGATTCTAAGGCAGGGGTCCTCAAACTTTCTAAACAGAAAAAAATGAATGAATTCCTATGCACACCACACATATCTTATTTGTAGTGCAAAATACTTTAAAACAATACAATAATTAAAATGAAGAACAATTTTAACAAATATAAACTTATTAGTATTTTAGTGGAAAGTGTCAGTATGTTTTTTGGCTGATGAGATAGGTTTGTTGTTGTTGTTGTTGTTGTGTGCTTTCACGTTGTTTCAGATTTAGGTTGACCCTGAGCGAGGGCCGGGTAAATGACCTTAGAAGGCCGTATCCGGCCCCCGGGCCTTAGTTTGGGGACCCATGCTCTAAGGTCTGTTCCTTACATGTTTAATATTCCTTCTTCACAGCAGAAGGGTAGGCCTAAGCAATTTAAGAAGTTTAAGCTAGGGAAGCCAATATGTGCCACTCAGCTCTGGCATAGAATTGAAAGGATTATACATTTTTAAAATGTGGTTATTGAAGACACGAGCTCAGAGCAAAGTGTATTTGACTTATTGGCTTCCTCTGTGGAATGCTCGGAAAAAGGCACAATATTATTTGAGGACACTGCTGATAAACATTTGTCCTGGCTAATTAGATACATCAGTGGAGTAGCCGAGGAAAAGCTTTCAAAACAAACTTTGTTATTTGATGAAAGGAAGTGTTTTTACTGAACTTCAACGCCTTCGGGATTTCTATTTCTGTAATATTGTTGCACATTTATTTCTTCAGGAATTTGTGTTTTCTGTGGAATTCACAATTGTGAGTAATGGCTGACAACTTGGATGGTTTTACAAGTAGACTGGACAAATTCATAAAGGATAAGGCTAGCACCAGCTAGAGCCATGACAGATATATGATCCTTCTAGCATCAGAAGCAGTATGTGTCTATATATCACATATATAATCAGGACTGTTGGTGCCATTGTAATTATCATTTCTATGTGTGGTTGTGAAAGCTGGACAGTGCAGAAAGCTGGTAGGAAGAAAATAAAGTCCTTTAAAATGCAGTGCTGGAACAATTCTATGGATAGTATAGATTGCTAAAAAGACAGTCAGATAAATAGACTCAGCAAGACTTGAGCAGAACTGTGAATGATGCGGTGACTTGGAGGTCTCTCATTCATAGGGTCACATAAGTTGAAGTTGACTTGATGCAGTTAACAACAAATTGTGTGCGTATGTCTGAGTCAGCATGGTGTAATACTTTGAGCACTGAACTATGACTCTGGAGAACAGGGTTTGAATCCTTGCTCAGTCATGGAAATCCATTAGGTGACCTTGGGGAATTCACATACTCTTAGCCCCCCCAAATCCCATAAATCAGAAACAACTTGATGGCACATATCATCAACAACATTGAGCCCCCGGTGGCGCAGTGGGTTAAACCCCTGTGCCGGCAGGACTGAAGACCTACAGATCGCAGGTTGAAATCCAGGGAGAGGTGGATGAGCTCCCTCTATCAGCTCCAGCTCCTCATGTGGGGACATGAGAGAAGCCTCCCACAAGGATGATAAAACATCAAATCATCCGGGTGTCCCCTGAGCAATGTCCTTGCAGACAGCCAATTCTCTCACACCAGAAGCGACTTGCAGTTTCTCAGGTCGCTCCTGACACGACCAATCAACAGCATCTACACAAATTTGCTATTGTTGTGCACCTTCCAACTTATGGTGACCCCATTATAAGGCTTTCAGGGACTGGGAATGTTTCACTCTTCCAACCTCACTCAGGGGGTTTCCAGGACCAAAAACAGAGTAGTAATCTCATCTTCATTGTGATGAGAGGATGCTGTAGTTGCACTTAGCTACTGTTTGTGGGCTTCCCATGAGGGAACTGTTTTGGCCACTGTGTGAAGAAAATTTATGTTGTTCCAACATGGCTTTTATGTTTTTTTCATCACATTTGCTTTGTCAAAAGCTTGCACCCACTAGGACAAAATAATACAATCAAATTTCATTCCTTGTTGGACTCTGGAGATCCTGGACCCTCCTTCTCCAATCTTCTGGTTTACCATACTTTAATGGACCATCCACAGCTATGTTTCCCTTTGATTCCTAAATGTTGTTTGATTACAACTTCCAGAAGCCCTAGCCAGCAATTCTTAAGGCAGTCAGGAGTCATTACATTACTATTTCTTTAACAGAGGTCCAGACAGATGAAAGTTGGATTCAAAGAGGAGGCTTCCTGTTTCAGAAATCACTGTCTGAGCTACTGCATGTGCTATACCAGCATTCCGAGGTCCCTTCAACACAGGCTCAAAATCTGTAATGGTTTTCAAATTATCCTGAGGCATCCAAACAACGCTTCAAGTTAATCCAGATTAATTCAGAGTAAACCAGGATTTCCTGATGTACTCCAGATTAAAAAAAAACACCTGAAAAGATCTGGAGTTTATTGCAAGGTCTGCTGGGCAGGTAGGGATCGATTCTCGGGACAGTCTTCCACAATCCCGGGGGCCAATTCCCATTACCATCCCAGTTCTTTGGACACCTTCCAGCCCCCCATTTCCCCTGTAAACTTACCAGAGGGGCCTGGTGGCATCCTTAGGTCCCTCAAAGAAAGCTTCTGACACCAGAATGACATAGACATCCCCCTTCCCCACTCCACATCATTTTGAAACATCAGGAGTTTTCTACGAGGGGCCTGAGAACACAGCCAAGCTCCTCCGGTAAATTTAGAGGAGAAATGAGAGGCTGGGAGATGGCTAAATGCCCTCCCAGGTCGACCAATTACTCTCGGGATTTTGGCCTGTCAGGAAGGGATCTGACACATGGTAGAGAAGATGTGACACTCCAGATATTGCTATATCATAACTTACATCATCCTTTATATTTTATGTGGGACTAAAAGGGTTAAAACCCAACCTCATTGGGAGAGCTATATGTTAACTGCTTATTTAAATGCATGTATATGTTACTGTTTTATGATTTTAATGCACAATATATTTTGTATGTTTTTATGTCTTAATGCGCCACTGAATTATTGTGTTTTATGTCTCATGTTTAATGGTTTTAATGATTTTAATGTATAGTTATATGTTAGTGTTTAGTTATTATGTTTTTTTCTGTCTACAAGTATGTTGGCATTGAATTTTTGCCATTAGTATGTTGTAAATGGTCTTGAGTCCCCCCCCCCCCGGGAGGGGGGTAATAAATATAATAAATAAATAAATACATAAATTGCCAATTTGGGAGCTGCTCTCAGTTCCCGCTTCAGGGTTGAGAGAGAGCAGAGTAAAAATACAGTAACTAACTAACTAAAATAAAATACATAGCCATACTCTAACATCAAGTCATTGATTATATGCCTGCCATTCTTCTTGCCAAGAATTTTGGGAGGAATGAGCTCTGGGCTGAACTTGCAAATTTTCTGAGAATTAACAACATAGGAGCTTTTCAGAAGAATTATTTCTCCCAAGACTTCCTGGCACTTGTTTCAGTCAAAACAGATGACATGTTGATCGTGATTTTTCTTTTTTCACAAGTGCTCCCTCAAGTGGTCAAAGACATGTGCTCTTCCTCATGTATCATGTGCTTAGTGTACTTTCTTTAGTGATTGGTGATTTGATGATGAATTTGGACTTAATCTGTCAGTTTGATTGCATCTTCAAGGAAATCCAATGTAAAAAAAATGACTTAGGACTTTACCTCTCATTCTACCCAATTCTAATTCACTGAAACAAGGCTGGGATATCAGAGTTCAACCCCCCCCCCCCCCCCGCTATAAAATTTAGATTGCATGCTGTTTCAGCTTCACTTTCCTCTCAAAGTTGTTGTGAGGATCACAATGGAGGAGTGGACCATGTATTGATTTGAAATTCTTGGAAGAAAGACAGAATAGCAAGATAGCAAATAAACTAAACATATAATACCAGAACCCCAAATATAAGCAAAATACAGTGAAAAACGCAACCAGATAGGCTGTATTGCAGAATCCATCCAGAATCAGAACGGCTCTGTTGGTCTCCATGCTTGTCATGTCTCCTGAAACTAACCTTAAGGAGCAGCTGGGGGATTTTCAGAGCTACGCTCTTCTGCTGGGCCAGGATTTTTTGTGTTTCATTGACACGGGCTGTGACGAAGAAATGCAGGGAGGCTTGTTCCAGCAACTGGCTCATGTACTCGCTCGACTTGATTAGCACCTCGACAGTTTGAGCTGACAGGAGGAACAAACAAACAGAGAAACACAACTGAAGCCTGAAAGCAATATAGTTGCCAGTTATTACTTCCAGACCTGCTGATCCTGTATTACCCATAGGCCATCAGATGCAATAAAGATGCTGCTTGTAGAGGGGGCCAATGCTTTCGTAGGCACAAGGAAACCTCTAGTCACTGAACTTAAGTTGGCTTCCTTCTCCCTTTTCTTTCCTGGCTCAGATCCAAACAAATTCAAGATGCTGAGGGAATTTGAATTTATTTAAAGATTTAGAACACTCCCCTTGGAGAAATTAAAAGTGCTTTCCTGCACTACTGTTAGAATCAGCAGTTAAAGAAAAATATCCCCCAAGCCAACGACATTTCATTAGAGAGTTGCCTCCTTTTTCATGGTTCTGAGCCAGTATAATACTGTGACGCACAAATGCACTGAATGTTTTCACAGCACTCGCCCCCACCCCAAAGACACCTCCAGTGTTTTCTTCACCCCGATAGCCATTCTTCAGAATTTTCAATGAACATTTCCACCACTTGGGTTAGCAGCCATCTTTTTTGACTCCCCAGTCTCTTACACTTCACACCAGAATTCTGAGATATATATATCTAAGAGGCACCGTGCATTATAGAGGAAGCAATAGGGTGTGGGACAGGCTACCAACTACAGTAGCTACTTCCATAATTCCAGGAGCGCAAAGGAGAATGTGTTGTTGTAAGCTTTTCGGGCGGTATGGCCATGCTCTAGAAGCATTCTTTCCTAAAATCTCACCTGCATCTATGGCAGGCATCCTCAGAGGTTGTAGATGCAGGCAAAATGTCAGGAGAGAATGCTTCTATAACATGGCCATACAGCTCGAAAAACCTACAACAACCCAGTGATTCTGGCCATGAAAGCCTTCAACAATACATCAAAAGGAGAATATTGGGATACTGCCTCCAGTGAGCCTGGATAATGTTTCCTTCCTGTGGGGAAGTATAGTAAAGTGGCCCCCTGCCTTTGATTTCTGGGCCACAAATAGTAGAAAATATTTTGAGACATCACATACACATATTAAGTCCAGTCATATCCGACTCTGGGGGGTGGTGCTCATCTCCATTTCTAAGCCAAAGAGCCGGGGTTGTTCATAGGCACCTCCAAGGTCATGTGGCCAGCATGACTGCATGGAGTGCCGCTACCTTCCCGCCGGAGCAGTACCTATTGATCTACTCACATTTGCATTCTTTAGAACTGCTAGGTTGGCAGAAGCTGGGGCTAACAGTGGGAGCTCCCCGGATTCAAACCTGCGACCTTTTGGTCTGCATGTTCAGCAGCTCAGCGCTTTAACACACTGCACCACCGAGGGTTCCCAATAATCTTGCACAATATAAATTTTGCATTACAAAAACATTGTAAAGTCTTGCACAACAAAACCACATATGGCTGCCACTGCAGTCATCATCCCTGCCCCCCCTTGCCCCCGCTGCACAATTTTCAAACAGGCAGAGACTTCAGTTACAATGTTGAACTATTCACAGTGTTGTTTGTATTGGGATATAGCATGCAATTTAGTTTTACATTTTGTACATTTTCCCCAAGTACAGTACAACTCTGTATGTGCAGAGGATACATTGTTGAACTTACTGTAGAAATAGTAGTTGATGGATAATAGCAAACCCTAATGAAATGAATGACCTCAGCTAGAAATTAGAAAATATCTTTAGACATATCCTCTCTAGGAATGTGCTAGCTCCTCCAGGATGACTACATAATTATTTATGACAAAAGCACACCACAGACAGGCATGTAGCCGGGGGGGGGGGGGGGGGGGGCTTCAGCCCCCCCCCCCGAAATTCTCATGGTGGTTCGCGAAAAGGCCTTACTGGTGCATTATTTAAACTGTTATGTTTATTCATATCATGATCTGATCACCATACTCAATATATCCCATATGCATGGGGGTATAGGGGTAATGATACAAAAGGTTTGCTAGGCTAGACCCTCTTTCACTCAGACTCAGCCCCCCCCCCCCCCCCCCCCCCCATCCCCCCCCCCCCCCCCGGAAACGAAATCCTGGCTACGGGCCTGACCACAGAATTACTTGAAGAACCTAGAAAGTTCCTAGAAAGGTCGTATTTGATCAGATGCAAGTAGGTGTACTTTCCCATAAGTATATATGGAAAAGCAACATATAGACATAATTTGTTTGTCAAAAAGCTGTGCAATTTATGTCAAACATTGCAAAGATTGCAAGATTTAATTCAAAGTCATGTAGTTTTTCAATAACTTGTGCAGTTCTCAAAAATACACAGCTTATGTTGCACCAGGAACAAAAAAGTTCCTGCTATTTGTGGTAACTTTCAACATGCCATTTTTCTTCCATTTGAGTGGTCAGTAAATCTAAAATTGACTTCAGTAAAAAAATTGGCAGATTTCTGTTCCTTTCTTACTTCGAAATAGATATGTAGGATTGCTGTCACCTTATTCCTAGTAAGACAAAATTAGAATCATCATAGCCTATTGGATATAGGCCTCTAGCACTTGGAAGAAAAGACAGAGTAACTACAAGAAACAAATCTATGTTTCTGACCTCTTGCCTTGATTTTCCTACATTTGAAAATTCCAGAGCTTTAACCCTTCACACAGAAACTGCCCTGTGAAAAAGGAAAGCTGCTTTCCCTTCTTTTGTTTCATCAACATCAAAATGGAGCTCTTGCTTTCATTCTCATAAGTATTCCCAAGCAACCATCTGACCCAGATTTCCAAGATCTGTCAGAAGTTGTTTGATGTGACCCCTGTGCTGCAAAGGAATTGCATAATATACCCCTGAGTCTTAACCTTAGATAAAACGTAGAGGAACAGTAATCTCAACCAGAAAGGAAAGAAGGAAGATGATCAGAAGGAAGGAAGGAAGGAAGGAAGGAAGGAAGGAAGGAAGGAAGGAAGGAAGGAAGGAAGGAAGGAAGGAAGATGATCATAAGTGGTTTCTATTTTACAACTAGCTTGGGGACCCGGCGGTGCCTGGGTTATTTGAGAAAGGCTTAGATTAGATACAATTTGACTGGGTTCAGTGGGTGTGGGTGAACTACAACTCCCATATGTAAGTTCCATCATCCATGGTCCATCCTCTTCCAAACTGCACCAGAATGTAGAATGGGTAATGGGGGCTCTGTGTGCCAAGTTTGGTCTTGATAAGTCATTGGTGTGGGTTGCAGTGGTCTCAGGAAGTGAGTGAACGTACTGTAAGTCCCATGGTCCTGCCTTCTCCAAACCACACCAGGATGTAAAGTGGGTCATGGAGGGTTCTGTGTGCCAAGTTTGATCCAGTTTTGTCATTTGTGGGCATCACAGTGGTGTGTGGGAGGTATATTGGATGAAGATACTGCAAATCCCATCATCCGTGATTGGGCTTCTGACCAAACTGTACCAGGACATTAAGTGAGCCACATTGGGTCTCTGTGGCAAGGTTAGTCCAGGCTCATCATTCATGGATGTTGTAGTGATCTCTGGAAGTGAGTGAAGGTACTGCAAATCCCATAATCCATGGTCCATCCTCCCCCAAACTGCACCAGGATGTAAAGTGGGTCATGGGGGTTCTGTGTGCCAAGTTTGGTCCAGGTCAGTTCTTTGTGGAGGTTGCAGTGGCCTGTGGAAGTGGCAACCAATCAGAAAGCTGCCACATACACCGCCCGCCGCACACATACAAACACTGCCTTTTATTATATACATAGTTTTGAACAAAAGTGTGAAAGAAACATATGAGATTAAATCTATAATCCTAACAATTCTTGAGGCATGTCCAAATGAACCACAAACACAATGCAAACTATGCAGCACCTATATAGAGAGAATAGACTGGATTTGTGTCAGTTGACATAGCCTTCACTGATACAATCCTTCAACTGCTCAGAGCTAGCCCTTCCTTTAGACCTGTCTCAGTTGAGCTCCAATAATGGGGAATAACACAGGCCCCACATACCGGTAGGTCCCTTGTTCTCCAACACCTGCAAGGCCCCAAATTCCTAGCTTTTAGTGGTTGTCATATTTCACCTAGTCCCTAAAGGCATCAACTGACTGGAGATACAGCCTATAGCAGCAGGCAAAAGCAGTAACAAGTCATGCTTGTCTAGGTCAAATACAGGTACCACCACCTGGGATCTTGTGCTGGAAGAAAGGTAGAATATAAAACCTACTAAGGTTTCTTTGTGACTTCTAGAATATGCTACTGCCACATCCATTTAGCGATTAGCACGCCCCCATGCACTGAAACCGGCATTAGGGGCTTCTGTAACCAAGTTGAGACTCTTTTGTGTTTACCTATTCCATCCTTGAATGGATTTCCTGAAAAAATATCAAGCTTCCTAAAAGCACCCAGTGTAATTACCCCCCTTTAATATCCACAAGCCCCCTGTGGCACAATGGGTTAAACCCCTGTGCTGGCAGGACTGAAGACCGACAGGTCGCAGGTTCGAATCCGGGGAGAGGTGGATGAGCTCCCTCTATCAGCTCCAGCTCCTCATGCAGGGACATGAGAGAAGCTTCCCACAAGGATGATAAAAACATCAAATCATCCAGGCATCCCCTGGGCAATGTCCTTGCAGAAGCGACTTGCAGTCAGAAGCGACTTGCAGTCACTCCTGACACGAAAAAAAAAATCCACAAGTTTACAGTAGAAGCCTACTGAGTTCTGATAGTATAAATGCCAAGTCCTTACACCTCACAGCCAGACATTTGGACCTGGAGAGCTTTGTAAAGGCATCAAGTGATAAAGGCCTTGAGCATGAGTGATGTTCTTCGTCCTCCTGCTCTAAATGACAAGATAGTTGTTAGTTAAGTCTGCCATTAGAGACGATGGACCCAGTTGACATCCATGTGTTGAACGTAACACTCAATAGGACTTGATAAGGCTTTAAAGGAACTGTCTGTGGTTCTGAACACTAGCCTCCAAATTATTTCAGTCTCTTTAATCATTCCTTTAAATTTTAGATTAAAACCCAGTGGAGTCATTGTTCCACTGACATTGGAGA